TTTTAATTAAATTATTAATAAAGATAGAAACATGGCCTCACCTTAGCTTTGCTTAAAAAAAAAAAAAAAAAAAAAAATTACTATTTTTAATTTTAGTATACGAAGTATAAAGCCTTACTATTTATAGTAAAGTTACATGTACTACACTATGTACTATATCAGCCACACCAGCCATACCAGCCACACTATTACACTTGTCACAAGTGTAGTACCAACTATGTAACATTACACAAAACAAATTTTAGCTCCCCAGAAAGCTCTCTTCAATATCTTTAATCTTAGAATATTTAAAACATGTCTTCTCTTATTTCTGAAGAGCCTGATTCCTATAATATTGATTATTATTATTCGAAATATAAGGACCGTAATAGTATCAGAATGACCGAGCTTAGTTCTAACAAACTACGTGTCTTACCAGCTAATATTGATCCAAAAACATGTGATGCTAGTTCAACTAAAAAGCATCATTACTTTAAGATTCCTACTCAACTTCAACTCGCTACTTGTTTTTGTGACAAGTATCATACAAATTTTACTTTCCAATATTATAAACTTTCTCCCCAAACAATCTTAGGAACAGCTGCAATAGAAACATCTCCAATTATTTCCACTAAATGCTTCAACAGAATTACTGATGAACTGCAAGCTTCACCTATCTCAAAACAACAACAACAACTACCAACTGCAAATCCTAAAATTCTTTTCTCGAATTTTAATACTAATCTAACTCCTGCTGAAATTATACCTTACTCTCAACATCACCACATCTGTCTCTGCTGCAAACAAAAATCAATCTCATATGTCTTTCTTATTGATACTAAACACGCACCTGATTATACACAATGTATAATTTTCAAAAACTACTTACTATATCATAACTGTATCCCTAAACTTTGGGATATTAAATTTACGATTAAACCCCAAACTTCTCCTCTTACTCTTAAACAAAAATCTGTACTTATAGCTATGAAAATAGCTAAAATGACTTCCAAACAAAAAATTTTACTTTTTAAATCCATCTTTCCAAAACCCTCTACATCCAAACTATCTACTAATCAACCAAAAGACAATATCTCTGAAACTACAATTGAAGATAAAAATGACAAACAACAATCCAATAAAATGGAAACTGATGAAATCACTAATGAAAAACCTACTAAATCTCTTCCAACATTTGATTGGATTGAAAATTATCCAATTACTAAAACCATGGAAGCAAATACTAAACTTCAAACCAGTGTTGGAAATTCAAAAAAAATATAGTGATTTTTGTGAACATAATTTTTTTTTATAATGTTCACATTAAGAATAATAATGTTCACATATAAAAATTAATATACTTATTTGTAATTTTATTTTACAAAATTATTTATATATGTATTTATTTTATAAACTAATATATTTATTTATAAAATCAATATATTATAATATTCTTATTGACTAATATATCTATTTGAAGAATTTTCCCAAATATCATATGCATGTTCAAAATCAAATTCATCTATTGATGAACCATTTATAGAAATTGATAAAAGGTAATTAAGAGTATTAATATTCATTCGATTTCTAAGTTTGGTTTTGATTAAATTTTGACGTGAAAATACATGCTCTACTACAGCATTAGAAAGTAGAAGTATAAGAAATAATTCAACAATTTTATAAGAATTAGGATAAAGAACAGAAAAATTTGGAATTTTTTGATATAATGCTTTCCAAGCATCTAAAAGCTTTAATGATGCAAAATTTTTAAGTAATATATGAACAAAATTCTACTCTTGAATTAAATCTTCAGTATTAATAAATGAAGAAATGTAATTCCTAAATTTAAATTATATACTATATAAATATAAAATTAATAATAATTTTTTTAATTTAAATAAATCGTACACTATACCTTTACTAGTTTTTTCTTTTCCATAATAATTAGCAAGAATATAAATTTCATCATTTCCATAATCTGATAATGATTCTTTTTCTAATAAATTTTGTGGATCAAAAATACTAAAAGCATTTAAAATTTTACAATCAGGAAATCGTCTATTAAGATTTTCAATTGTTGTAATTGCAAATTGTTGTATAAAATCTGGAATATCTTCTGAAGCAAGATCATTAGTTTGAAGATATGTACGTAAATGATAGCCCCAGGTTGGTGAAAAATTTTCAGTTCCAATAAAACTTTCATTAATCGTTTGAATAACAGTTGCAATTTGTAGCTTAATTTCTGTAAGAGAAATATGTTCTGATTGAAAACTTAATGTCAATCATTTTAAGTTTCCAAGAATATCTGCCAAAAAATTTGTTGTTATATAAAATGTTTGATCAATCGAATCTAATAATGATTGTGCTACTTTTTCTGTTTTTGAATCTAAAAATAAAGCATTAACAACAGAATCTAATATGCGATGTAAGTTTGATACAACATTTGATAAAGAAAGCCAACGAATTTTAACAATACGTAACAAATGTAAATCAGGATCATCTAATAGTTTTTCTACCATTTTTAAAGTTTCCATATGTTCATAAGAGCGGCTAAAATAAGTATAAAGATTTCCAACAATTTTGTTATATGTATGCATATATGGAATTGATTCAGCCGCATCTTCATATGCAAGAGCTAACCGATGTAATATGCTATGATGTTCTGTAATAAATGGATTTTGACTTTTTAATTATGCTGCGATACCATTTAAATGACCTACAAATTAAATATTTAAAAATATAAATAAAAAATTATATAAATACATAGTACATGCTATAGATACTATTTTAGTTTAATTAAAAGTATTTAGTATTAATTTTTAATACAAAATTACTAATATTTTAATAATTTTATATAAAAAAGTAATGCTAAAATATTTTTAGCTATACTAAATTAGTTTTTACATATAAATAATAGTCTATATTAATTACCTAACATAACTGATGCTCCATCGCTACCAAAATGACCTAATGTTAAAACTGAAAGATTTTTAATTTTAAAAAATTCATTTAATTCTTTCATAATTCTATTTGCGCTACAATCTTTTAGTTCAATTAATCCAACAAATCGATATACTGGCATATTAAAAGTAATATGCTTTGATACAATAGCTAAAGTTTTTTCTTTCGTAACTGTATTACTTTCATCTATTATTAAACTCCATGCAGATGATTTACGGATCTCATAACAAACTTCATCTTCAATTACTTTTCCAATTGCGTCAATAAAATCTCTTCCAGCATGATTATTGTTATAAGAACTATAAGTGTTTCTCATTAAGCTTGTATCTTGTAATGCTGAAGAAAATTTTAAAATATTAATATTTGATGATATATGTAATTCTTGAGCATTTTGGATTTGCTGATCAATAAGATTACAAAGATCAGTAATTGTATGCGTAGCTATATTATGCTGAATTAACCAATACATATTAATCATGTTGCATATAATACGAAGTTTGTCAATTCCAAGTTGTTTTGTAAAACTTGCAACTATACTTAATTGTGTTTCAGATCGTGCTTTTAAAGTTTTTTGATGGTCTTTAGTATCAAGATGTCGTTTAAGTGATTGTTCTTTAAAATTATCACATCCAGATACAAATATATTTGTATATTTGGCAGCTTCGCACCAATTACAGAACATAAGTTTTTTATCTTCATCAAAACGTAACCAAGGGTATGTAATTAACCAAGTTTGATTAAATTTAAGATTTTCTCTTAATAAATGTGATAATTTAGGTTGGGGATTTTCACTATTATTATTTAACGTTAGAGAGCTTGTGATATTTATAGTAGCTTCATCTTCACTATCAGTTAATTTATCATAATATCGCTTTTTTGCTTGTGCTGCAATTGTAAAAGGATTCATAGTAATAGGTCGACCAACTTGCATATCTTTGCGTGACATTATTAAAAAATAATAACAGTAAGTTTCAAAGAAAAAAAAAGATTATCGCACATCATATATTATAAAAAAATATGCTTTAACCAATTTAGGATGTTCATTCAAATAAATATTTAAACTAACCATTCGCTTTAATTTGTTAGATTTTTTTTTTGTAAATAGCTAATGTGATTCTTTCAGTTCTATAATTATTAATGAGATCTGTCATATTCATCTAATTCAACAGCTTTTTTATAATAAGTAAATACCTTGCATTTATCTTTTTCGATACCAATTTCTTTTTTGTAATAATGTTCAACATTATAAGCGCCAGTAAAGTATCTCATTTCAGCTAACTTTTGATAATAACAAAGCACCTTTTTTTCATCTTTTTTAGCACTAAATCTGAGATGATAACAACTAGCAAGAAGACATAATCCGTTAAGATTTCCTATTTGAACAGCCTTTTAAAGATTATTGAATGCTTTTTTTTGTCCTTCTCAACACCATTACTATTAAAATAATAAAGTTTGAAATTATATTTTTTTTAGCGCTTCCCATTTTAGAAGATTTTTTTTAAAATAGTTGAATGCTTTACAATTATCTTTTCAACACCAACATCATTTCGATAATAAAGTATAAAATAATAAAGCCAAAATCAAAAATCAAATTAAAGTTAAAATAATTATTGTTACTAAAAAAAAAATGTGGGCCGCAAACAGCTTAGAGTCTTAAAGATAAGAACTAAAGCTACTATCAAATTATTATTATCAGGCTTTTTATGGCCTAGAATTTTAAATATCGTAACTTTATAATAATAATAAATCCTGAAAGTTAAAAGAAAAAACCAGGCAAGTAAAAATAGCTCAACTAAAATACTAAATATAATAATAGCGATAGGGCTAATTTATTGTCCCTATTTAGTATTAGGCAAATGTACAAGTATTATCTATATGCGAATATTAGGGATGGCAAATGTTTTAAAACGTGATCTTAAAAAACATGTTTGTCTGATTTAAAACTGTTGAAAATTGTTTTAATACATTATGATGTAATATGATCCGGGCATGATCCGAATTGCATAATATTCAATAATATAAATTAACAATCAAATTAGCTGAAACTAAAATTAGCCAATTAGAGACGATAATTTTAATTTCAGCCAAATTTTGGAATCAGACGCTGATGTTTTAAAAAAAGTTTTAAAACAATAAAAAATGTTAAAAAACTGTTTAAAACATTTTTTTACCATCCCTAGCGAATATTGCATATACGATGTATAATTAGAGATAAGTCATCTGATTTCTCACTAATATTAGTTTTAATAGTATATTGAGATTTCATAGCCTACTTCTCATTGAGTCTTGTATTTAGAATAATTTAACCGGCTATGTAGCATAATAATTATTTATTAATCAATGTATTGCAATAGGCATCAATAATACTAATCATGCCTAATATTGCAGATACTACAGTGGTACGTAACAAAAATGATCAGGAAAAATAATATACAACAAATTTTTTCCGTATTTAAGAATGACTAAATGATTCTTCAATTTGGTTTAAATGAATGTTATAAATACTTTAGCAAGATTATCGAAATATTATTACACGGTGGACAATCATTCGCAAAGAATGTATTTCCGGAAAAATAATATACAAAAACTTTTTCCGTATTTAAGAATGACAAGATTATCGAAATATTATCACACGGTGGTCAATCATTTGCAGAGAATGTATTTCTGAAACTTTTTTTAAATACCGCTCTAACAAATCAATAATCAATAAATTATTAAGGTTTACGATTTACAAATTTAGCGTGAACACCATGTGTAAATAATTTTTTTAAAAGTTACATGCAATTACATACAATTAGGTCTATGATAAATATATAAATCCTGGGTTTATTCTAGGGATGCCTTTTCTAGTTTTATATAGATAGCAGTCTCTGACATAAAGATAAATCATTCTATTAGTATTCGAAAGAATGTTAGTTTTGTAAGCCTAGTGCATAACTATTATAGTTACAAGTTATTCTTGTACCTAGTAAGTTACCAATAGGTTTAAACTTAACATAGTTTTATAATACCTTATGATTTAACTGATTCAAAAGTTAATTAAAGAACTTGAACTCATCTGAATAAGGAAAATACTTTTTCAAGAAAGCCTTAGAATTAAAGACTTTGGATACATGAAAATTCAGTCTATTAATTGAGATTTAAAAAATCCGACCGCCTAATCAAAATTTCAAATGCAATGCAAAACGAAAAATAAACTTTGTGTAGCCTTATCCTGAAGTTATAACAAAATCCATATGGGTTCCTATTGTAATATAATAAAAATTAATTCGTACGTATCATAACTTTTATTAAACAATATATAAATAAATTAATTACTTAACTGTTAATGTATTTTACATACGTATTTATATGCATAAACACACATACATACCACTTTAAGGGGACATTTAATTAAAAATCATTAACGTTTAAGTTAGGGTTAGTTTAGAACTTGTATAGGATATTACGTATAAAAAGTTATTATAGGTAAAATCGTCCCTATTACTGTATTATTTATACTGATTTGATTTGATTAATAAACCTGTTACTTATTTGATTCGATTTAGCCAATAAGTGTTATAATCATGTTACAATCATTTACTGTATTATGAAATAGTCTATTTTCTTTATGAATTTATTACATGTTTGAGTTATTTAATTAATAATAAAATTTATTTGACTAATGTATATAACGATCTGATACTTTTAATATGATTTTCTTAAAATACAGTATATACAAAATGTTGATTTTAACTTTTAGCTTTATCTGAATTTAAAGCTGTAGAATGATAGCAGTGCTTTATTTGTATTTGTATTAATATAAATGTGAACATTATATTAATAAATTATGAACAAGAAATCATAAAAATTAAAATTTATGTTCACACTATGTGAACATAAAATATAAAAACTTTGATTTTTTTCAAAACTTTATGATCTTGTGAACACTGTGAACATGAGATTTCCAACACTGCTTCAAACTACACTCTCACATAGCTTATTTAATTTTCTTAAAAATTATTTACATGATTTTTACTCAGGAAAAGAAACCAAAGCTACTACTCCAACTCAAAAGGCCTCTAAAGCAACCTTTAAACAAATTATTAGAGTAATGGTTGGATCTCGTCCAAAATTTTTTACAGACTTCATATTTAAAAGCAATCCTAATATTGATCCTAATACAACTATTCCATTCAATATACTTGAAAATACCCTTAAAAACTTATTCTCAAATTCACAACTATCCTATTTACTAAACTTAACTATAGTTCAATCTTTGCCTCAGATTTAACAATTCCTCCTTACAAAACCAAAAACTGAATGCAATTTTGCATTAATTTAGCTTGTATTCATCTTTACTTATCTAATAACTACCATGCAATTAATTATAAAAAATTTGCTGATGACTTCAATTTTATTCCTAAACGCTTTACTATTTACTTTTCTACAGTAACTACAGATAAAGAAGAAAAATACTTAACCATCAAATCCGACAAAAAGTTCAACATCCAACTCCTCTTTAATATACCTAAATCTATCTTTTTGGAAGTCTATAATATTCCATCTCTAAAAAACTCACTTGAACATTTCAATGAATGGTTTAAAAACTTCTTTCCAATATATAATCACCAATTTGCTGAGCCTTTAAACCAGCAAAAAGTCTATAATGCTTTAAAGGATAGGATTCAACAGCAATTTATTATCCAACTTAAAAAACTGCTCCCAACTGAAACTAATATTCAAGAACCTAACAACTATTTTGAAAGGCGAATTGAATGTATTCGTCTTGCAAATTTCTATATTCTTAACTGCAACTCAAAAGAATGCCCTCATATCAAAGAAGATAAGCATGACTTCTCTGCTTTGTTTAAATTAATTCTCAAACAATCCTACATCACATACCCAAAAAAAGATAGTGAAATCTGGAAACTACCTACAATTGATTACTCAATTTTCAAAATCAATGGAAAACATGAAGCTAATTTCTCAAAACCAATTCTTTTAAAATTAATTGACGAATTAGCAGATCAAGCTAAGGAGTTCATCTGCAAACAAAATAAAACAACTAAATATCAAAAACGATGAAGCTACTACTTCTATCAATATCTAAATATTTATCATCACACAGCCGCAGAAAATCACAACATACATGACTCTACAAAGGAAAAAGCAATCGAATATATGACTACAAAAATGATTGATACTCATTTTTTAGCAAGGATAATTACTTACTTTGACATGATTAAAGAGAAGCAATCAACACTACAACAAAT